TTAATTTGGGAAATTAGATTAGTTTTGAAGACATTGTGGTTGCATAAACTCCCATACTTGTCAATGGAAAACGAGTGTAACCACTAAGAGTTGCCAAGCACAAGATTATACAAAGAACTCAACTATTTGATAGTAAAACTATGTAGATGAAACACATAATTTTGACATGTTTGTTAGAGCATATCCTATTACATACCCATTGTATCACTCTTTTTAAGTACTCCGGTTCGAAACACTGCATTGTGCTTGACAACTATATCCTACCCACAATTGCGCCTGGTTCAAGTGTATCCAACCATTACCAATCCATGACACCTTGTCATTACCCATCCAACTCATATTCATCGTTCCATCACCTACTTAAAAATATTTTGAATTGTTTTAAGAAAGAGTGACGTGCCAATGATTGATTCAAAACAGTTATATACTGATTCATATAAATCCTTCAGGAGTTCAGTTCAATCACCTTCCACCAAATAAGTAAGGTAGAGTAGAGTACTCTGGTCCTAAGCAGCATGAGAACGCAGTCATCTTCAATTTTTTCACATTTGCTCTTCACCTTTTTGTTTTAGTATCCAAGATTACTTAACATTCTATGAAATTAATGGAGAAAATAAGCAAGCTTTTAACTCTACATAGCAAAGAATATCCTAATTTATGAGACAAGACTCCATATCACATTATCGATGTGTAATATATATCGATGGATATATCGATGTCTGATATATCCCATAATCAATCATTTTTACTCCGAGCATCCGAAAAGGCTATGCACAATTATTCACTATAAAGCTATGTGGGCAAAAATGAAAGGATATTCATTCGGTGTCTTCTTCACTCTCTCTTCGTGCTTATAACAATAATGAACAATTGGAAAACAAGTTTCAGCAATAAGGGTGGAGATACAATGATGATGGGATGTCTTCCAGCAAAGCGAGAACAACAATACTTTTGAGATTTATTCAACACATTGAGTGCCATAGAAGCAATCAGCTGAATGGATGGGTAGTACCCACCAATTGTGCCATGGTATCTATTGCAGGACTCTGCTGTGAACCCCGTTTCAGTCAGAAATTCCGTAGTTGATGTTCCGAATCACACCTCTATTCATATATTCACGATGGATGGAAAACAATTTGATCTTATTTGCATGTACGGCTCATCTTTCACAGTCTGATGCTACTGGTTCCTAGCCTCATATTGGCCGTTAGGTCACCTCCACCCTCATCGAAAATAGGTCGTCTTTGAAGATTACTCGACGAGCTTTTCGACGGTTCGCCGTTTCTTCCTTCCTGCGCTAATTCACAACACGTGCTGCTGTGCGGATCCAGGATCAGTGATCAGGAGGCCTCTTCAAATATGGCATTTGGGGGTGCTATGCTATATTTGTCATAAATAATCTTTACGTGATGCCATAAATAAGAATGGAAGTCCATAAATAAGAATGGAAGTCCAAGTCTCCTTTCGTTCTTGTTCACTATTAAAACGTTTTTGTTCTCTCTTGTTCGCTGTTGACGTTAATGAAATGTCTTCAAAGAAATGCAGAACGCCATTTAATCTCTCTCTCACGAACTTGACTATGGGCTGAAGATCTTCACGTATGGTGTCGTTACATCGGGTTTTTGTAACTTCTGCCAAGTATGAGCGGTGAAAAAAAAAAATTCGAACAGAAGCAAAGGTCCGATAGAACACAAAATACTTTAAGGTTCCACATTGACTAGAGCTGGAATCACAACATCTTGAAAGTGAACATTTGGCCAATATGCAAATTGGCAAATTTTCTTTGAATACTATCCTACTAATTTTGTTGCGTCTTATGATTAATTATGTTTGGATAATAACGTAAACATAGTCGACACAATTCTACTACCTTTTATTTGATCTCAAAATTGAGAATGTATTCATTGATAGAATGAGAAAGAGAAGATATAATCTGCCAAAACAGTGGATCAAATGCCAGAATCCGTGGAATTTGATGAAGCATGGATTACTTTTGAACTTAGATTTTCCAAACTGTGTATCCTGAAACTATGTGTGTGGAGGGTGATTTCTCCATGATTACCTAAGAGAAAGATGAGTATATATCTTCCTTAATGATATTGTCACTCTAGTAAACATACATTGTAAGCAATTCAAGCAAATTAAAATTAGTGTCATATTTTTCATAAATAAAATTTGGCTGATGCCATAATAGATTAAGTTATGACAAATTTGGCAAAGGCCAAGTTAGCATAGGCCTGGTGGTCAGTGATCCTGTACTGCACGTACAATAGTGTGATGTATAGTTATCCCCGCATGCCAAATACGAGGACATTGAATCGGTATCCGCTGAGAAAATTTTAAACAATTTAAGGTAGGTGGTGATATGGGATCGCTTCGAAACGTTTGGGTTCATTTTATTACTTTTATATTATGTGCTTCTAAGATTTTGGAATAAAGGACTTTTCCAAAGATACACTCTATAATAACTATTGTCTTTCTGTGTATGATCCATGACTCTTGTAAAAAATATGGCAGAAGTTTGATCTTGATACAACACTTGCTTTACTATGAATAAAGTCCAATTCTATAATAACATGAAATATCACACCAAACGCATTCATTGCGTCGAATAAAAGCAGTCATCGGGTGGAGAGTCATGTTATAGTTTTCAGATTGAAAGCCTTATTGTTTCAGTGTGATTCCCCTACTTTGCATATTACACGTGAGAACTGTAGACCATGACTTGCGAGTCCTTCATTCCCAAGTTGAAAGGTGAACGACAGACTGACACCGTGTGTCGGCCTTATCCGAAGCGGTGGGAAGAGAGGGATGTCCTTCTCATGAGGACGCGCTCGGAGAGGATCTCGAACTTACCCGGCGGCAGCGAAGATTTCATTCTCCAACGCTGAAAATATTCCATGAAACGGCTTGTAATTGAGGAATGACGTCGCCGCAGCGTCGAAGGAAGCAGGATGTTGGGTCGAAATATGCAGGCAACTGTTTAGAACTCTCTCCAACTTTCCAGGCAAATAGAAACCTGGATAATTCTTTACGCTTTGGCCTGCATACAAGAAACACGCGACTAGCGGTTTAGTCTTTTGCAATCTCACGAACCAAATTCCAGACCGTAACCATCCTCCATATTTTAAGAAAGAGTGTGGAAGGATGACATATGTCCAGCTCCCAAATGAAGTAGTTCCGACATTAGCATAATCTGGTTCATTGTGGTTGACAACTTTGGGGTCTTGTTCACGGAGTTCTTACCCTCAACCCTTGTTGCTCAGTGTTTTGAATATTTTGCCGACTAGATTTCTTGTCTTTTTCTGGAAGTATGGGAGAGGATGGATTAGGAAGACGAGAATACAAACGGTCGTTTGTAAAGCCATGTTGACATATACAATATGATTTTCGAATAAGTCCATGGACCACTGACGTGAAACAAGGCACATTGTTACAAAAAAAAAGGTTTTCTGTGATACGAGCGGTAGATATGAAATAAAACTCCGTACTGTTCAAAGAGACAGCTATACATATTCTTTTCTTCTGGTCACTTGCCAATACAATCCCTTACAATAAGCTTGCTTACATCTTTACAGTTTCCGTCCTTTTTTAATACCTTCATATCGTCTGCTTGTTCAATATAAAACCTTTCTAGAAGTGGATCTCCAGGATATTCATAGCCTTTTCAAAGCACCACATTCCCCGCGTGGATATGGAGATTGGGATTCCAAATCTGCGATATCTTCGATGCCATTTCCAGAACTTACTTGCTCGTAGCATCCAGAAGGGCTTCTTTTCCGTGCTGCTCCTGTGGTCCTTTCTATTCATGTTCCTTCATTGCTAATGCATGCATGAACATCATTCCAGATTACTATCGGACGATGTGCTTTCCATCGTCAACTTTCTCTTGGGATTACATCCAACCCTCAAGTCAGTGGAACTTCAGCACTCAGTCTCGAACTGTACTGGCAGTTGGAATGCAGCACAAGCGACGAAGGATACGGTTGACAGATCCAGCTTTCCTGGTGCCTAGTACCACAATCCTAGTTCTTCCAGGTCTCACTGGCATCTGAAGATCAGGTACTTCAAAGTACATGGGTACATCTGAGCAAAGAACTCCCGGGCTCCCAAAGGTCTGACGTACCAAAACTTTTGCAACGCCGTACTTATCAAAACACGCCCCATGAAAGAGAAGAACAATACTGTAACGAGGAAAGGTTATCAATCAATCAAGCAAATGCATCGAGAAACATCTCACCTCAGGCGAATGGATGGTGAGCAAGAAAGCGTCCCGGTGACCAACCTTCAAAGAAAAGATACGATGAGAGAAAGTCGTCTAAACAAGAAGAGCAGGTAGAAATCTCACTGTATTCGACCGGCAATTCGTCTCAGATATTTTCTGTTTGATCACGACATAGTTGTATCAGATGGAAGTCCACAACATCGACAACCACTGGAGCAGAGGTTTTGTCATCCCCTGTGACCAGTATTCACTACCCAACACTTCGCGGCGCACGCGGATGACGAACATGAGAACACTCATCTTTCCCAAAGCTGCACGCGAACCAGAATGTCGAAAATGCTGCATGCCAGGCTCGAACGAAAGCGCAACAGCCAGGCGGTCTCTAACTGTCTGAATGACTTTGTATCTAGTCGTGCTCGTGCCGGTACAGTACGTCCAAAGACGAAATAGACGAAGCTACGTGCATCAGGTCGTTCTCATGAAGTTGAAGGATACGGTGGCGAGTACGTCGCAGAGGCTGCTGATCTGGAGCTCCACCTGCGGGTCCACCTGGAAGTTCTCGACACAGCGAGGCCTGGAAGTTGAACTCGGAGGTGGGGCCATGCCATGGAGAATCCAACATTGTACTGACTGTGTACTTCGCCCTGTGGAAATGGACGAAATCATGACCGATGGGCATGATGGAAGTGGGACCTCCCAAAAAGGGAAGGCCAGTTGCCGGAGCTTACGTCAAATTACGATGCTCGCGCGTTTCCAGGTCCTTTCAGCCGGCTTTCTTCTCGAGAGACTTCGACAAAGTTCTCTGCTTGCGAGCAGATCGCTCGAAATACGATCTCCTCATGTGCTGACTGTATAGAAGCCCTGCGCTGTCAAGGTCCCGCACCAGCATTTGCTTCCTCCTGCGGATTCACGATCCTATCCTTCGTCGCTCGTCCACCTCCCTATCACTGTTCGCATCAGAAACCTCTTGACTGGTCAAGCGAACTTCGAGACGTGTTCAAGCCTTCTTTGCTGACGCTGAACAACTTCTCGAGCTGCTCCCGTCCGTCCAACCTCTCGTGAATGGCCGTAGTGCAGCCGGGTCAAGCACACGGTTGGTTCGTCCCGGCCTCACCATCGCCCTCTTTGGAATCATCATCATCATGGCTCTCCCACTTGACTGCAGCCTCCTCTACTAAACCATCAGAAGGGAAGGCGATGGCAAATCGCAGACCCGCCGCGGCTAGGGATGAAGGCACTCGAGCTGGGAGTGGCAGTAGTAGAGTGGCATTGGTGACAGAAACGGGAGGAAAGACGTCGCAAGGAGCTTTGATCAGTCCTGAAGGCGGACGGGACGTGGTTCATGTGGTGTCGAACAAATCCACATTCACGGCCAGCTGCGGCAGTGTGGAGCAGCACGCTCAGAGAGCTGGAGTGACGCAATCGGAGACCATGAACGAGCTGTGGGAGGATTGCAGGTCGGATTTTGGTGAAATAAAACGAGTTTTCCGGCGCTTCGATGAGGATCAGGATAACTTCATATGTGCGGCAGATCTTCAGCGGTTCATGGGGAGGTTAGGATTCGACATCTCAGCGGACGAGGCGGTGGATATGCTCCAGACCGTGGACAAGAACGGCGATGGTAAAGTGGAATTTGACGAGTTCTGTTTGCTGTACCGGAAGCTGGACGATGGCCATTCGGCATCATGCTCGAGACTGCAAGAGCTGGTTGATGAGGAGGACGACATCCTGCAAGAGGCTTTCAGAGTCTTCGACAAGAACGGAGATGGCTTCATCACTGCGGACGAGCTGCAAGCAGTCCTCCTTGATCTCGGAATGCCCGAGGGAAAGAGCCTCGAGAACTGCGAAAGAATGATTTAGGGCGTGGATGCTGATGGAAATGGGGAAATCGACCTCGCTGAATTCAAACGAATGATGAGATCGAATTTCTTCCGCGACTAACTTCCATTGTCGTCCTCAACGAGCAAGTGAGCTCTACTCCACTTCGGAGGTACATTTTAACATACGATAGAACGCTTTGCTTCTAGGAACGTTTTTTAGGTATGGAAGTAAAATCTTTGCAGAAAAGCAAAACTAGGAATTACGATCAGGTTCGGGCACATTCGGCAATTACGGAGTGTTCTGAACTCCTGAGGCAGAAGATTCTAGCATAAATCACTGCCCAGTTCTAGTGAGGTAGGATAAAATATTCTTAGCTTTTATGAAGGAACCGAAAGATCTTCGCAGCCTTTTTTATGGCATGGAGACAGAGTGATATGTACATGCTTGTATCATAAATGCAAATGAAGCAATCAATTTTCCGATCAAGTGCTATGGAGTCCTTCTGCTGTGTGATGAAATAGACCTGTCCAAGGGTTTGTGCTGGCAAACTCGCAGAGTGAGAAGTTTCACGGTCGTGTCCAATTGGCTGAACAAGCAATCATTAGTTACTGAATACGCAATATATCAAACTAGACCTCTCGCATTTTAAATTCTGCAAGTCACATTTCCCAAGGCAGTCGATCTCACCGATCCATACCAATTAATCGAATCATCTTCCATTCGATGTTCAACTATTGCTTTATTATGTTATTGTTGCTCGGTACTGTTCAAGCTGAACATGGAAAGGATATGTGCAGTGGAGGCAGCTCCAGTCCAAACGAAAATTGAGATGAGTCCCAATCTGATGCACGTTGTGCGGAGACACACATGCAAAGGATGCTATCGAGGCAGACATGGACATTCTCTGCTCTTAGATGAGGTGCTGAAATCCGTGGATCTCAGCACATGGGTTCTGCTTCATCATTCAAAAGCTGACGTCTGTGGACGAATGCACAAACTACAGTGGATCCCCTGCGTGGCCAGTGTCACTCGACTTTGTCCTCGCAGATCACGAAGGATTTCCTTATATCGTGGACCAAATTCAAAACAATGTCCTCTACGCTCGGTGAGAATTACATTGGTATTGAAAGCGATTGCAAGGATTAGACAAAAGTATGTACTCCAGAGGCTGGAGCTCTGGTCATATTTATAAGCATATTTGATCGAGTAAATTTCATAGTCACCATGGGCTGCGACTTAACTGGGTATGGCGTAGCTCGATGAAGCGAGTTTCTTCATCTAATAAGACGTCGTTTCGTAATCTAAAGTAATCTAAAGTAAAGGTGTGGCGCTTCTCGATGAAGCAATCCTCTTCATGTAAGGTGCTGAATTATGTCCTAGGGATGGGGAGAGAACGGGAAGGGGAAGAAGTTTCTCTGGCCCAACTCACCGCATTCTGTCAAAAGTGAATCCTACCTCGATCTAATAACTCTATTCTCTAAAGTCACTATGTGGTACAGCCCTGATTCATCCTGGTGTGAGCTCTGCGAGATGCAAGCTGAGGAGGATGCGATTCCGATGGGAGTACACTGAATACACGAAAGACTGAGTTCAGATTAGACGACTGGTTTTCTGTACAGCGTCCCGGGGGCTACACTAACTATCTAACTAGATTATGAGGACGCGAAGGGGCGGAAATTCAGCAGAAGGCGTAACTGGAGTTCATCATCTGCTTGAACTCGGAGATGTCAATCACTCCGTTGCCATCGGCATCGACCGTCTCGATCATTTTCTCGCAGTTGCGCAGACTGCGGCCCTCGGGCATCCCCAAGTCCAGCAGGACGGATTGCAGCTCCTGGGCCGTGATGACGCCGTCCTGATTCTTGTCGAACACGCGGAACGCCTCGAGCAGAGTGCTGTCCTCCTCGTAGACGCAATGCTTCTCGACCTCCATGTCCGAGGTCGGGGAGTAGGCTGACGCGTAGGACGATGTTGACGTGGAAGCCGACGCGGACGTGGAGGCCATGGACTCTCCGTCGCAGAGCGCCCTGTACAGCGAGAGAAACTGCTCGAAGTCGACACGGCCGTCCCGATTGTGGTCCACGCTGTCGAGCATGAGCCTCGCCTCGTCCTCCGACATCTGGAACCCTAACCTGCTCATGAAGCTGCGCAGATCCTCGCTGCAGATGAGCCCGTCGTGATTCTCGTCGAATTTCTCGAACACCGTCCTCATCTCCGAGACGTCGGGGGTGATGGTGAAGCTGGACACCACGGTGGCGGTTGCGTCCGTCGCCATGCCGTCGAATTCGAAAGCGCTCGAGCCGGGTTGGCTCGCGAATGCTTGGAACAACCATGCCTGATCGGACGTGAACCACGACGCTACGTCGGACGCGAGGAGTGTCGGATGACCGGACTCGAAGTCCGCCATCGAGCCGAATTCTGCCACCTCGTGGTCGCCGAGGAATCCCACGCGCAGGGCCCTCGTTCTTCAATCTGGTCAGCAGTTGTCACGAAGGCCGCGAAGAAATACTGGAACGAGATTTTGAGCAAGAAGAAGTGCCGATTTCACCCCGAGGAATTTCGCTCGGGTCAATCTACTTATGGAATCGAGAAGCTATGCGAGAGAATTTCCAGTGTACGATCGCACGGTGTTGATGCAGGAGCGTAATATTACAGCACTAGTGTGCGAGATTACGAAATGAAAGGCAAACGTAGATTAGATAGAGAGAGAATTGCTTATGCGCGAACTGGTTCAATTGAAGAAGCTGGAGATGACGAGGGCCGTTTATAGCATCCGAAAATTGCGAAAGGCGGTTCTGCCGCCATCGAATCTCCGCATCTGGTTCCAGCCTGCGGAGACGAGAGGTACGGGAGCGGGCTCGAGAATAAACAAGCACACAGATCCATGGGACCCACTGACTAAAACGGTACGCAACCATGATTCCTGATGACACTAAATGCCACCGGAACGCGCTGTTGCACAGCCGCGGCCAAGCTGCGCTGCGTCCCCGACTCATGGGTCTCGCATCTGTTCCGCACCCATGATCCAACACCGCTCGAATTCGAGCTGTATATTCATCGCGTAAGCAAACACCTGGCCGCTGTTCGCGTCGTCAATCCCTGCGATCCCTCCTGCTCCGTCTGCAGGAGCCTTCCACAAGATATGGAGACCCCAGCTGCAGTTCTCGCGTCCGCTCTCGGCCGGATGCCAAAGCTCACCGTGAATTTAGCCTCCCAGGATATGGGTTCGCCGATTTTCATCATCTCTCCCATGTAGCAACGGGATCAGAACCCGCAGACGGTCTTCGAAGCACAGTGCGGAGTGTGCCCTCCGAGCGCAAGCAGCATGCCCAATTTCTTTGCGCTGCTGCCTCGGGCGTGTCAAGATCGGTGACTGCACGGCGAATTGCTCAATCATTGTCCATCTTCGGGGCTCGGGAACCGGGCTGGGAACAGACCTTTGTTTGTGGTCGAGAGCTCTCGCGGGTTCGCCATCATCGAGTGCGACAAACGTTGACCGCATTCTGCTCGAGCCATCGGGTTCCGAGGGGCATCGAGCTCTACAGTCCAGCCTGATTCGGCCTGCATCTTGCTGGCTAGAGCGTGACATCCACACACCTGAATGCTCGATATTCTTCGCTGCGCGAATTGAGCCTTGCGGGGAGCTGTCCGAGGACGGGCCCATTCGGGACAGGTGAACGAATGGCCATCACGAGTTCTCCGGTATCGCCAAAACTGCCAATCATTCGAGCCCTGCCTTCGGACCTGCCTGCGCCTCTGACGACGCTGAGAACCCAGTGCGAGATTAGACATCAAGTTGCTGGGTTTGATTGAGCGCTGAGCGAGGACACCTCGAAGAGAATGTATGTGAGAATCTCCCACCCTCAAAGCTTGCCTTCATTCCGTTCCTTGATGTCGAATCCGCTTCGCTCCATTTGCAGCCCTGGAATCTTCTCACAGACATGGACGCATCTCTCACGCACATCAATCTTCGCATGATTTCATGATCACACGCTTTCGTCACAGGCGACTTTTATCCTCCCTCGATGAGCATCAGCCCGCTCGAAATCTGAGCGTTCTAGTTTCTCGAGGGCTTCCATCTCTCGAGAGCTTCTGAACTACTCTTCCATGCCATGGCCAACCGGGAGCATCAGAAAGTCGGCCGTTGACTTCCGACTGCTTGCAGCTTCGATGGAGAGTGACCAGGGCTAACGGTTTCGACTAAGAAAGGCTCCGAGCTGCTAAAAGAAGAATTGTCAACAGTGCCATCGGATTCCTGTCTACAGTCCAAGCCCAGTAGCGTCTCAGCGCAGGTCTGAACTTGTTGGCTTCGAAGCTGCAACACTTCACCTGAGCTCGTGCTAACAGATTCGATGACGGCCAGCGGCGAGAGAAGTGGAGTATTATTATACTCCGATCGGTCACCATCCGTCGAGAAGGACCTCGCCACCCCATAACAAAATAAGACATAACGTGACCAAAAAAGGTTGAAGATTCTCGGATGCTGTGGTCTATTATAGTCCGCGCGAGATTCATTGATGCCCGGAGGGGAGCTGCGCGGAAGCTTCTGCTGAGGAGTTGACTTCTGTGCACATACGTCAGCTCGACGGTACATCATCTTTGTTCTTCGGCGCTCTGGTTGTTTTCTTGTGGAGCGAGACAGTGACGTCTGAACATCGCCCGTGGCAATCGACAGATAAAAGCGCACCAGCACCAATATCAGGACCGAACAAAACCACGACCGGAAAGAGAAGAACAAGGTGATAACTCCTGTTCTAGATCAGGTCCTTCCCATCCTCGGCTCTACACTGCTTGGTTCTCCATGGACACAGGTTCTATGTCGGCATGTGTGCTCGAACCCAGAAGATGGACAGATGGATGAAATGAAAGGAAATTTTCACTATTTCTCTACGTGTTCTCAAGCTATGGAGCAGCTAGAGATGCCATGACTGAACTTTTTGTGATGCAGTGTCGAGCTGAGCCGAAGATCGATAGCCATCTTCAAATTTCACTATTAAACTCGTACGATTTCCACTCTACTTGATACCGAACTAACGAAACCTCACGCAACTCGGACCGATTTCCTTTGCGTTCGAATTGCACTTACCTTTGCTTTCACAGCTACTCATATGACATCTCCTGTCCAGTCCAGGCATTTTGTGTAAGTTACAATCCGAAGTTCATCTTCAATGAACTATTCTACATTATATCTGTTTCGATTTGTTGTGTTCGGAGGTGCATAGGCTCCCAGACCGTTCGCTTCTACATTCCGATTCGGTTCAAACGACTGTTGTTTGTGGAAATTCAAGTCAGGGGACATCTTCAGGATTTTCAACATTCCAATTTAACTGCGAACTGAGAGATAAGTAATATTACGACAGTTACTAATTCAGCCATGAATTTCAGATATGTGTGCATGAATGCTTGTGTGATAAGGCGATGCAGGTGCAAGAATAATATTTGGAGACCAAGAAAAGAGCTAACTTTGAGTGCAGAGAGTCTCCTGGTTGTTCGTGCAAAGAGTGGAGTCGACAGACGCACATGGCTGGAAGGAGGGACTCGGGTCAAGGAAACAGAGCTCATCACGAGAACCAGGAAATATGAAATGTAAGAACTAGGAAGGTACTACAGGAAGGTACTAACATTCATAACAGTTCATATCATGCAAGATAGTAATATCTTTCGTAGATAGATGCAGGAGAGTAAAACTTGAAGTGACCGTGTGAGTATGTTGAACCTGTGAGTCCTATTCTGTTCCAGAGAGAGACCCACAGTGCAAGTTTTTTCGATATGCCCTCCGCTATTTTCCTTGGCAATGCACATACTCTATAAATCGATTGCATGGCATGCCTGAAGAGTTCTTCGAGTGCAATACTTAAGGCCCACCGTCTCTATTGAGGGAACAAGGAATCCCCCCTCGAGTAGTACTTCCACAAGTCTTAGGAATTGGGCTTAGGAATTTAGGAAGCCCAATTCCTAAGAGCAATTGGGCTCCCTAAATTGCTCTTAGGGAGCCCAATCTTTTCTGTACATTGGATTATTAGATCAATGGACTTGGCTCTCGTTCTAAATCAGTGAAATGGTGTTTGTAATATGATTTGAAGACAAGCTCGGTGAGTGCTCTTGTTGTGGGAGAAGTTGGACAGGGCCTACCACGTCGATTCAATTTTGTTGTAATTGGCAGCTATTTAGCTTTCGTCTTTGATTGAGAATCTTAAAAGCCGATTTGAAAGGGGTTTCTCTTGCAGCGAGGAAAACTTGAAATAATCAAGAGGTCATTGGTTTATATGCACTTTATCTTGCGATATGTTCAATAATAATTAAATAACATATTCAGAAGTGTTTCAGAGACTTTTATATATATATATATATATATATATATATATATAAATAAAATATTCAATCAAAGATTACAAAATACGCCGAGTAATAGATTCACGGGAAAAGATAGCACCCCAATCATGTAATATTCTAGAGGTTTGGAGCCAGATTCTCATCTCCATGCTTGTTTCATAATTTTCATCATGGGCTAAGCTAAGAAACTATAATTACTTTTGCCTACCACTCGAAACATTTAAATGATTTTTTGGTAATAAGTAGTCACCTTTCTAGTTTCGATCGGTGATATCACCAATTACTGTCTTAACAATTCGTATATATCAAAGCTCATTAAACACCTCTCATGTTTATTGTTCCTATGTTACATTCTTCGGTGTATGATAGACATTACTGAATCTTTTATTTTGAAAGTCAAGGTGTAAAACTATAAGTCTTGGATTTCTTGAGACAGTCTCGCTCAACTCAACCTTTCAAAGGAATTCATTAGTGCTAGTTTTATTTTTTTATCACTTTTACTAGTTGGTCGAGAATGTATTGTACCTAAACTATATCACGTTACTAAGATACTCACATGTGAACTTTATTGTTAAATTTTTTTTCAGAAACGCTTGCGGACTCATCTAGCTTCTTCGCATGGTTCTTTCTTCATTAACTATTTCATTTTATCAAGCTTGAAAGTCCTTAGTCTCATAGTAGGCGTATGACAGTCATTTCTTAAATATCATCTGACAAAACTACTTTTGAATATGTCAATGGATACTTGGATTCGGGACAAACATTTTTGTGCATTTACAATAGAGAGACATTTTTCAATGAAGTAATTATTACTCTTACCATTTTTGACTGTTAAGATATTTTCAGCAAATTTCATATTTTCTTGCTTGGTGGTTGATAGTAGTTTCTCTTCATGCTGTAGAGGCATGTAAATACGTTATTATATTCTACAAACATACTTTCAAACTAAACAAAAGACATTTATGGAAGTTTAACATAAGCTTTGTGTTTTTTTTTAAAATTGCAACTACAATTTTGCAATAAAAATGTTAATCTATCAAGAGTTTCAGCAACATTTTCATTCATTTTTTGTGAATTTGGTATAATGACCAAATAGACCAAGAGTACCAATCTTTTGCTCCCGCTAGAGTGTTGGAGCTTGACTGAGTTATGTAATGAGTTTTTCAAAATTCCTGACATCACTTTTGCCTAGGCTTTTTCCATGACTCCACATGTTCATTGCTCAAATGTGAATGTATTTTAGCTCAAAAAAAATAATTACACATATTTTATATCGTATACTGTGTATTAATATAGCATTTTATAATGTTAATCTCTTCGCATAATTTAATTATTTTTTAAAAACTTCAAATCAGTCACCAACTTCATTTCTCATAGTGTAGTACTTATTTTGAATTTGAGGTTTATCTCATATTCATGAAAAAATAACATTTTAGCCTGCAAATAATCATCCTATATTTCGTTATATTTGTAATTGTATTATGTTCTGTGAAAAAATACATTACGTATATATCGTTTTTTATATTTTGACTTGCATATGTGGTAAAATTTATTTATTCAATCACAAATTAAAGGTTTTATCCAATTCATCTTCATAATATTCATATGTTTACACTATTTTGGTCATTTCATTTATAGCCATGTTTTCCTGCAGTGAATGAAGAACAATTGATAGTTATTATTTTTTATTCTTGATGTTCATATTACTCATTTTGATTTATAATCTAATTTCATCTATTTCATTGAAAAAATTCTAAAATATATAATATTTTTTTCAACTCAATCATAAATAATTTAGACTTTGTGATGCAAATTGTACTGTTTAAATTATAGATTAGGCCTCACCAAGTTTGCTAGAATTGAAGTAATTTTGGAAATTTTTTGTCCTTAATTCCGGTATTTTTGGCATTAACATTTTTATTTCACTATTTTTCATCCAATGGTTTGGAAATAATCGTTTTGAGCATTTTGAATTGCTTTGTCAAAGAAAGTCTATGGAGGCTAGTGTAGGAATAATCTTTCTTCCATTTGATGATGGAGAACTAGATTTCAACCGGACCTCGTATCTGAAAACGTTGTTGCCAGTCTACCGCACAACTCACCCAAATACATGAAGCATACATGCAAACAATGTCATGCCTAGTTGAAGAAAGTATTCTCATTCTGAAATGGAAAAATGATATAATTGACATGACTGTGAAAAAGTGAAAGAAAGATATAATTGGGCACTTCTCTTCTGGTCAAGAATTTGCAATGACCAAAACAAAAACAAGCATGCTATAGAAGTCATATGAAAGGAAGAAAGTGAAAAAGTAGGCAAACTATATTTTTCTTACTTCTTTTCTTTCTTTCTTGCGCAACCTGCACTCCACTTTTGAGTTAGTAGGACGAGAATTTGGCCAACCATTCCCAACTTCCTGTAAACTTAGAATAACACTAATGCTTGCAATCCGCAGGTCACCAGCAAATTTAAACCTATTCACTCACGGGCTGTCTCGTGTCACGCATTCCTACCCTAACTTGCTCTTCCCCGCCTTCCCTTGCTTGCGTGTTTCTGTAGCTTTCTTTATCATGTATGGAATTTTGGCCAAATTAATTCTGGCAGATTGGCCGATCAATTTTGGCGTATAAAAGTAGAAAATTTAGTAATCATGTTTTAGATCCATGTCAGAACCTTGAAAATAGCTTAGTATTCGTGATGCATAAGTTGATGCTTAAATTATGGATCCATGTAGTAATTTACTTAATAATAAATGACAGTATGCAAGATCAAATGTAAGAGCTAATAAAGTTCTCATTGGAGTTCTATAAAAAACGTCAATAAGATATCTGGAGCTCAAGAAGTAGAGATCTAATTCGGGCTTCTTCGAATGCAAGTTCAAAGTTGACATTTTGATTATTGATCAAGATGGCCGATGATTTCCTAGGACCAAATCGTCGTGGTAAATTCTATATTTTCCTTATGGGGAATGCTCAATATAATATGGACTTGTGGAATCCATCTGAACAGCATTTTAAGGGACTGAGATAAACAATATT